AGATGTTTTCTAATAGTCAGGGTTTCCAATGTTCTGAACGTACTTGAAAGTATTGTGTTATACTTAAAAAACAAAGTGTTATAGTTTACAGAAGGTCTACCTACCTATAGGCTACCTGAATCTCTGAAATGTACTATATTCCTAAATATGCTATTGCTACACTTTATGGCAAAAATTGCACTTTTCTGTTGGTCTTGGTTAAGAACATCCTTAAAAAAAATAAACAATGTTTTGTTGCTTAAGCTTATGTATTCAGTCATTATTCAATGGTATACTAAAATCCATGTGAAAAAAATTGCTTCTCACTGTTCTCAGGTCAAATATTTATATGCGATTAAAAATGCGATTAATTGCGATTAATTAATTACAAAGCCTGTAATTAATGAGATTAATTTTTTTAATCGAGTCCCGGCCCTAATATATATATATATATATATAATATATACATAACAAATGTAGTGTAGGAAAAATAGTTGTAATATTACAAAATGTCTTCATTGGATAAGTTATAAAATATATTAATAAACACTTACAACTTAAATTTGAGTGTATTATTAATCATGTTTAAAATGTTTCATAGTGATGATAAAGTCTAAATAGGAGGGAGAGGGCACATGTATAATCTTATCAAACAACTCCAATGGACGTTTCCTTTTGAGTCTCACCAGAGAATTGGTGCTACCCGTTTCCAGAATGAGTTTTAAGTCTAGTTACGTTTATTTCCATCACCATCACATTCGTCTATTAACAGCTCACATTTTGTTCCTGATGGCAAAGTTTACAAAGGTAGAAAGAATAGCTCTAACAGGCTTCCTGAGTGACCCTGCCCAGACTCATTGCCTTCTTACCAGCGGTGGACAGCTCCCGGCTGAGGGGTGGCCCATGTGGCTTTGGTGAGGTTGTTGGTGGTGGACCTGGTGTCCGTGTTGGTTGTGGATTTGCTGCGAGTGGGGTTGGTGGCTCTCGGGACTGGGCCTGTGCCCCTGACCCAAGGGTGACATCATCCTCTTCTGGCCTGGGATGTTGTTGGCTTGCATCAGGGCCATGCTGGACAGCACCGCCTCGCAGCCCAGCAACCCGGCCTGGCAACACAAACAGCAAGTCAGAGCAGAAAGGGGGGGCCGCAGGACTCCTCACAGAGACAAGGAGTCAGGGGACAGAGAGGGAGTTGAGTAATGGGAATAACAGAGAAATGAACTGGCAATCAGGATGGAAATACAAACTAAAAACATGACGGTGATTCTGAAGATGAAGAGACTTCAACTGACCCATTTCATATGGTCTCGAACAGAGTTGTTTGTATGGTGTGTCATCGCCGTGGTTTGAATGCGTGTGTGTTTGGGGGGAACAGAGGGGGCTTCACTTAGGATGAGGGGTAACAGAAGAGACCACACCCACCCAAATCATCAGGGGCCAAAGCCTGAAAGTAGAGTAAAGACAATTTTTCCATGCTGGAAAACCAGACCAATCTAATAAATGTTTCAAATCTGGATATACCACTAGAAATGTAGGTCCAGCCTTAGTAAGGGCTGTTTATCAGGCAAGACAACCCTAGTGATTTGGTTCACGCCACGTTTCAATGGTTGACAGAAGAAAAAATAAAACTTTGAGAAAAAATAAAGACATCCAATGGGAATAGGTAAACAATGAACAACAAAAGAAAACTTTGTAGATATGATAAATCCCACAAAAGGTTTTCATACATGAGGTTATAACAAAACATATAAACGACACAAATCTAAAAGAAATAGGCTGCTGTTTGAGAGCAGCGAGTGAACTATCAATTACAATTTGATCTACCTTAAATTAAATTGTCAAGGGTATCATAAAATGTGATAAAGGGACGATGTGACGTTTGTTTGACTGATTAAAGATAAGGGGGGTCCTATTAGCCCTGGATCTGATGCTGGAAAACATGTCCATGCAGATAAGAGCGTAAATAGGTCTAGACCTACCATGATGTAAGACAGTTATGTTGGCTCTTGTGATGTTTCAAAACCAAAAGGATGAATCTTTTGAAGTAACAAAGAGTTCAGGAGTCAGTTAATCATTGAAGAGTGAATTGGATTTCAGGTAAGCAAGTCTGGTACTGAGGTTGGGGAATCCCTTAACTCAATGACCGGTGGTGCAATTCTAAAGCATTGTATGATAATGACCAAACACCACAAAAGTATTTCCTTGAGATCAATCCTGTATTTTTTATATATATATATATAAACATATTTGATCTCGTCTTTGCATTATGAAATCCTAATTGACTAATAGAGAATACACCATGATCATTTTAGTTTGATGTGTTATGACGTCCAAAGGGAAAATGGAAACTGTCAAAAAGAAAACAAAAATCTCGGTAGAAAAGATTGATGAAACAAATGCTTCATGCACAAAATGTGAGGAACTACTCTAACATACTGTGGTGTAATACTGATACATTTTTCTTTTAATATCTCAAATGAATCTGCTGTTTCGGAGCGGCAAGTTCACTGTAAATTACAATTGTTTCTCCCCTAGATTCAATGTTTATGGGCATAATAAAATGGAATACAGGCACCATGTGATGTTTCAGTTAAACGGATCAAAGCTAAAGTGCGTCCTTATATAACCGTAGAAATGGCACTTCAAAGAATATCCACGCAGATAAGATAAGGTTTTGAATAAGTACTGCCTTCTTTCTTAGAAGGTTATATTGTCTTTTATCAAATTTCAAAACCATGGGGAGAATTATTGAGGTGTCTGAGAGTTCAGTAGTAGCAGTTTATCAGTTAACAGTGAAATCGATTTCATGCAATACAATCTGGCACCTAAGTTGCAGATTCAACGAGTTTTGGAACCCAAACACCTGCGGTGCAAGTCAAAAGCTGTGCCTGATGATGAACAAACACGGTTTTGTGCTTTTATGTTGTATTTTGTAGTGTGTAATGGTGAACATACCGTGCAATGGATTGATTTAAGGATTAAAATACATGACTTCATGGGCTGTTTGTACCTACGTAAAGAGTTACTGAAAAAAATTAATTACTTATTTGATCCTCTAGGATGCTGCCTAGGTTCAATACATTGTGTTAAATGTACTGACACATTTGTAAAAAAACGAACTCCTTGGTTAGAAGTAAGTTTATATCCCATCAAAAACCTTTCAACATTTTTATTTTATAATTTACCAAGAGAGCTATGGTGGAAAGAAGTGCCTCTCATGGTGTGGCATTAAGCACAAGGCTTACAATGGTCAGACACAGTTTGGCCTTTTCACAGAAGTCTTAAGAGATGGATGTTTGTAAGTATTGCAGTCTTCTGTGTTAAGTTCATATCAAAGGCTGTGAATAAAAATATATATCAGATGTTTACCTTTAGAGACCGTGTACAAGGGCTTTGATGGTCAACAAACACTGCTATTCATCACTTAAGTAAAACACGTTTCCATTTATCTTTACGTTGAATATTAATTGTTATATGTATGTCCAACCGTGTGGTTTAAATTATTTTGCAGAAAACATGCATTTGATCACAAGTGGGCTAGCTAGCGACATAAAAACGAAGGAAATCCTTTTGTAAAAGCGAACCTCTCTGCACAAATGAGCTTTATTCATTAATCGGGAGCACATTGGGTAATGCAGTTTATATCTGGACACACTATTTAGACGGTGGCTTTTAAAGTGTGCAGCATGCTGAGAGGCTTTGCTGAACACAACAGAATAGGCTAACCTGCTAGCTAGCCAGTAGTTGGGTTGTGGGACAACTCTTGTGTGAGAGCACCCCCACCCCCCGCCCCAGACAACACAACAACAGCAGGGCGTGCAGGCTCAGCGCCGACCGCTAAATAACACCTTCCTCCCCGGCTACAGCGCTCACAAACACGCGTGTAGCAGAGTATAAACACGGTCAAACAGCAGAGAGTGAAATTCTTTCGCAAATGGACTGCTTACCTTTTGATTTTTAGAGTTTTGTAGGTTATTATTTCTTGTCGCACTTCCAATTTTTTCTCAGTTTACAAACACTGACAGGAAACGCCACCGGAAGAGCTTCTCGGGAAGCGTTGTGATTGGCCAGACTCCCTGTCACGTGATCGAAGCAGCATGACCCACATTTACGGCCATAATTGTGAGGGAGTGGTGTCCTTTGATTGCACACATCCGAATTTGTTGTTCTGGTTTTCTTACACATTATATTATACCGTATTATAACATATGTTGGTATATAACTATATAATACGGTATTTATCATTGATATATATATATATACAATCTAATGTTACAATGTGCATTGACCTGCACTATTTTCTATACATTTTTAGTTCAGCACCGGTTTCCGACATAAAAAGGTCTAGTCATTGAGTTTGCATTTGCCAATATAGAATTAAGCAAACAAAAGTTAATTATTGATTGTAAACAAATATGTTCCTTCATTTTACATCTAAAAATCAATTCACACAATAAGAAGAATTACATATTTCTGGATGCACTTTAGATATGTTTTCAGAACAGCAGTTTTATTCAGTGGATATATTTAAAAATAATAAGAAACATATATCAATTTGTTTGTTCATTGATTCATAACAGACAGATGTTGATCCATGGTCATCAGATTTTAGTATATGACATGTTACTTGTTATTATAAAACGGACAAGTCAAATCAAGCAATCTAATTGGTTCTTAGCCGTGATATACTGAGCGTATACCACGGGTAGAATTGTAAGTTACTTTTCACATCAAGTCAGTATCCCTCCGCGTCTGAGCAAAAAAAGTATACCGTTGGGCGCTTTTCATACTGGAACAAGAAAGCAGCGGAGAAGTAACGGGGCAGAAGCTGATGAGACCGCTTTGGTTGGCCCCGTGGATGGGACATTTGTTTATTTGCAAACAACCGTGCTCTTATCGATGCTTCCATCCGTCCGTTTTTTAAAACAAATGTCCCATCCACGGGGCCAACCAAAGCGGTCTCATCAGCTTCTTCGTTCATGTTTGACTATTGTTCACTGTGGTTTGTTGTTGTTTGAAGTCATGAACGTTAGTTGGTGCTCCAGTATAATCGGTACCCCTGAAACTCATCCAGTGAGAAACGTTCCGCGGTGCAAAAATAAGTGCGATTAAAATGCGTTAATTTTTGTGTAATTAATTAATCTTAATTAACGCGTTAAAGTCCCGGCCCTAATATATATACATACATACATTAGGTTCTCCTTATGGATGACCACAGGATGCGTTGTAGTTGTTGGAAAATACATTAATATCTACTTAAAACTACATTTTACAGAAATATTTAAAATGTATTAAAATGGTTTAGACAGCATGTACATTCTAAAGGGGTCAGAGTGCTACCTTGTATATCTGACTTTGTGTTTGCTGCTTGATTACGAGCTAGCATACTGTGCAGTTAACCTACTACCATTCCTTCCTCCTAAAGTTGATCCGAAAAGACGGGGACTACCACTCATCAAGACTGGCTGATGGAAAGGACATGCAGGCAAACCAGAATATGCAGCCCAAGAAGAAGCACAAAAAAGCAGGATCCTCCAGCAAAGTTAAAGTCGAGGTGAGGATACTTACAGAGCATGCCTTTTTTAAAGCCAACATGCAAAAGTGCAAACACCTAATCCTGATGTTAAGTTCACTTTAAACTAATTGTGTTATTCTTGTTAGCATTTTATTCCAACAATGGAAATGGACGATGATGACAGTTCCTTGAAAGTCCAGAAGAATTTCATCTGTGACCACTGCTATGGAGCTTTCCGGAGTAGCTACCACCTCAAGCGACACATACTGACACATACAGGTGAGAACCCACAGCTCACCTCTTCAATGTGGCCTTCCTCACTTGCATTTATGGGTAACTTATGGAAAACAGGGCGGTGTGCTGACTTGTGAGTCCACTATTCAGCCAGAGGACCACCCTTAAGAATCTGTCTCTGCTTGTATTAAACTACAAGAAACCCACAGGCTCTAACAGATCAAATATGCCATGAGTCTTGGTGCTAAATAATGGGCCTGTTGTTGTTTACAGGAGAGAAGCCATTTGCTTGTGATGCGTGTGATATGCGGTTCATTCAGCGTTACCACCTGGACCGACACAAGAGGGTGCACAGCGGGGAGAAGCCGTACCAGTGTGATCGCTGCAATCAGGTTAGAGAGCCTTTGTTTCGGCTTCATTTATTTTGTGAGCATTAAACCCAACCATGTGTTAGCCATGTCAGTGATGTTATTTCACTAACTTCTGCTAAACCCTTGCCTCCAGAGCTTCTCACGGACAGACAGGCTGCTGAGACACCGGCGGCTATGTACAGTGGGGATGAGCAAAGAAGAGAGCCAGTACGCACAGGAAGCATCTGCCCATACAGCTTCCTGGAGCCCCCTACAGCCTTCCAACAACCGCCTGACTGTCTGACCCCCGCTCCACACAGAGACCCTACAGATAGCAGTCTGCAGCTCAGTAATGTCGCACATTGGAGCTCAACAGTACTGTAACGAGAAAACAGCCTAGCTTATACACAACCAAACTTTACTTTGCCCTCGCCAGCTCCTTCACAGAGCTTGATAGTGGATTTTTGTATTTTTCTTATCTGCTTTCCTTTCACGATACAGACACAAAGTGGACGGACTCATTCACTGGTCTCTGTATTACGGCAATAACTAAATGAGGGGGGGAAAAAATCATTTTATCTAAAATGTTTCCGGTATTTTCGGGGGATTGCTTCTGAGGCATTGGATGTATTTTTGAATGCAATGTATCGTGCAGCAGCTCTTAGGTATCCTGTTGACACGCAAACATCCCAGTGCTGCCCTCTACTATATATGGACAGTTCGCTAAAGGACCCGCATACATTACTGTTAATGTTTTAGGGTTTCATTTCTCTCATTTTGTGTTCCGAATGCTTTTCAAGTACCAGCTACTGCTCATAAGGGAAAGATAACTGCAGTCCAATAGTGAAGGTGTTTTGTGACCTGAAATAAAATTTGATGTAATTTTATATCACGCAATTTTAAACATGAGATGGGCTCATTACAGAGTAAAATGCTAACTGGTAAATCATTGTCTTTTTATGAAGAAGATCGCATTATTTCAAATGGATCTAAAAGGCCTGTCTTACCTGCTACTCCCCCAGCTGTAGAACTGAGGTACAACAACTCACAACCGTGATTTGTGCAAACAGGTTGAAGAACACTAAAGGTTAACTAGTTGCTCCTCAGATGTAAAATGTTAAACTAATCCTGGTATTAGTTTAGTTATGTTGGCTCTCATATCCACTGCTCTACCTTGTTTTAGAGGGTTTTTATCCTGGCAGTTAAGCGGTTGCACTGTTGAAGTGCAGTAGAAGGAAGGACACATTTAGCAAGCTGTTTTATTTAAGAACTGGATGTAAGAACAACCTGTCTGTTCCAGGAATTGTGCTTCTGTAATAACCCACTCAATATAAATGAATGGTTTTACTCTGTCTGTTCCTAGAAAGCACCGTCAGTTTTATTGTTTAATACTCAGCGATTACAGTTTTCTTATGACTTTGAAAGACTGTCCTTTCAAAAGTGTTTCGGTAAGCATGTTACATAAGAACACAATTCGATTAAAAACCAGTCCTAAAAATAGTTTTTACTTGGGAAATGTTCTTGTATCCAATTAGTTTAGCCTAGCCCTCACAATCCAGAAAACAATTCAAACAGTTGATAACGTAACGTGGCTCATCCATAGATTTGAAATCTCCTCTGTCTTGACCTGACTGAATGTGATCTACAGTGCGTGTCACTTCATCTCCAGTTTAACCTTGAGCATCTTCAATGAAGGTGATGAGCAGAGGGGCCACGCAGTGTTTCGTCCAATGATGACTTGCATTATATTATCTTCAGGCCTCTGGGTGAGAGAGTGTGACTGAAAACACTGGACAGAAGATGTTAGCTGGGTTGTAGAGGATTGTATTCTAGACTGGTACTTCCAGACCGCCAGATGTTTAGATAATGTGAAAGGACTTTGGGGCCCCATCACTGACTTGTCTACTTTTTATGAAGTTAATATATATTTAAAATGTACTAGGGGTAGAAAATTGTATGTATGGGACCTACATTTCAAAAGAAAATCTAAGTATTTACAAAGTTATAATCCTTAGTCTGATGATTCCTTGTGAAAAATGGCAAGACATCCTTCAACTTGCCGTTAGGTGTAAAGTAAAAGCTGCCATTTTTTCATTTTTTTTAGTATAGCAGCCATGATTAGTCAACATTTTTCTTTCTTCTGCATGTATTTGTTGGAGGATATTGTATACAATTTGTTTTAGTAAAGATATATTTTTTAATTTGAGCCCCACTTCTTTTCTCATTTCAGGGGTGAATTGAAATCAATTTTGACTCAGTCTATCATACTGTAGTGAACGGAGTTTTAGGGCCTCAAGTCTTAATAAAGCTGTTACACTTTTTAAACAAATGTCAATTTTCTTTCACTTATGTCAACATAATATAATACACAAAGTTACTTGTCATCAAATATCACATTACTTCCTGAATGTTTTAGCCTACATTTTCAGAAATATGTAATGCACCAATCTTGTCAGCAGATGGCATCCGTGATCATGTGCGGTCCAATTTCTCCAAAACTACATTTCTTTCTATATTTACAGTATTGAACATTTTCACAGAATACCCTGGGTAACAACTCGTCATGGAGTGAGAAAATGTACTGTAATCTACTCCTGTCTCCACATTATTCTGGCTTGAATACAACGTTTTAGACAAAAGAAAATTGATCTCCAAGGAGACTACCGAAAACATGGCATCATACACAATTTTGGGTAAGGATTACGAGACAATTAATCATTACAAACTGTATGAGATGAGGCTGCAACATCAGCCTGTTTAAATCTACTAACTACTCTCACCTATTAGATCTATTAATCAAATCTACCTCTCATTCCCGTTTTTGGATTGGATCAAAAAACAAAACAATTTCAGTAATTAGATGCAAATCCTCAGTTTGATAAAATAGCAGTTGTTTAGGTTGATAAGATAGTTATAACAAGTAATACAAATAGTTAGTGATTCATTATTATCAATCACCTACAATGACCAACTTGCACAACTATGCATTGCAACACAGTCACTTTAACAGATCCTTGTCTGCACCACAAGAGGGAGGTGTATCCTTAGCTAATGTGTGCTAACAATGTTCCTCAAGACATTAAGATTAGATACCCATGGCACTTGTTCTGAGACAGCAGATGATCAATGCACATCTAACACGAGCCAATCCCTGATAGTAACATGGTTGAAAATACATGAGCCAGATCTGAGTTTGCATAGAAACATAAAAGCAGTTTAGGTCAAAACAAACACAAATTATGAGTTCGTAAATCCAACCTGATTGCTAAAAATAAACACAGCAGTCAGTCTTGTTCAGAGAAATATGATTTGTTATTGATGCTGCAGGTAAGAAGTATCAACGTCAAACTGGGTGATTAAACAGTCATAACCGTCTGTGCGGTGATAGCTGATACCCACATTCTTCAGAGAGGAGGAAATAATTTACATTGGCCTGTCATTCTGTCTGCGTAGGTATTGCCACATCAGTCCTGCGTTAGGAAGTGCAGATCATACCCTTTAGCACCTTCTTCTTTGCTATTGACCAGTTCCTTAATTAAAGCATTAGGATAGGCAGGATGAGATCAGCCCGAAGGCTGCTGGGAGTGTGTGCCTTCCCCCATGGGAGACATCCCCTCCCTCTGCAGTCTGATTTACAGCACCCACAGGCCCCTGGCACTTAACAATGGACCTTCTTAAGTGAGGTAGATGGCGAGGCGACCAGAGAGAGGGAGATAACACTCCATCTTCATACACAAAGTGCTGAAATCATCTAGGTTTGAAATCATCTCTGCGAGACAGACTGATCATGGAGTCAGTCCAGAGGTAAAGTGTAGGAGTGCTGCCGTGTGCTCAGACTGGCGTTCTCCATCAGGGAGGAGGAGTGATAGCCAACGCTCTACATGCTCACCTCTGTCACAGGGATAAAAGGAGAAGATCTCCAAACAGAAATGTACCTAACAACTAGTAAATCTCAGGTGACGGTGTAAACATGTGGGTTGTTCAGAGGTTTACAAAAACAAGCGCCTAGCAGCAGCCACGTTGTGTCTCGTACAAATGTTTGGATGCCCCCTGATCAAATACATAACAGGCTCATGGCGCATGATTGAAACCCTCCCAACAATAGCTCCTGCTATCTCCCTCTCCCCGAGGTGTGGGAGAGCCTTTCATCTCAGGCTTTGATTAATAAAGGAAGCGCTGGTTGGTTGAGAGCAGCGATCTGCGCCCCCCCCCTGGAACATCCATCATGCCTGTGACAGCCCACCTCTCTGTGTTAATTAGCGGTGGTATTTAAGCTGTCTGAGGTGTTCCATGGCCGTCAGCGTGGTGGTGGTGGTGGTGGTGGTGATGCTCGTCATTAAAATTTCAATTCCTCTTTCCAGGTTACTCCCATTTTCCTGGACACATCAGTGAACACGTCCTCCAACATTCACGCTGAGGAACAGATTAAGTGTGCATAGTAAAGAGGCAGTGGAGACTTGACAAAAAATGAGAACACAATAGCTGTTTTCTCTATGTGAAAACAGAAAGGTGAGGAATCATGAATTAACCGGGAATATCTTCGTGTTGGTGCCCTCACTGTTTCTTTAACATGCATTGTATGTTAACCCAACTGAGTCAGCATAAATGTAAAAATATAAATTTGACTTATCACGCTTCCACAATAACTGCTTAGGAAAGTATGCCACAAATCTAAAGTCATCGTCAAACAATGGGCAGTAAAAGTGTTCATGCATTACTTATTAATGATGACCAAATATTTTAATAGGTTCTAATACTGCAGGCTATAATACAGAAATAAATTGTGTATGTAGCTGAACCCTGGTCTGCCTTACAACTAAAAGGCATCCTGTAACAGTATGAAAACGTATATGTTATTAGAGATTTGCTTGATAAGCCAAATTCGTCAGCAAAAAGCAAACATTTAACATCAATATAAAATGGCCTCCAAAGTGTTAACAAAAGCTGGTGTATACAGAGCGTCCAAAGTATCCCAGGGTATTAATGGTACCAAACTCTATGGAAATTACGGATGGGATTTCTTACAGCCAACTGCGTTACAAAACATCTCTGACGGGGAATTTCCTGTCACATCGTGTTTCAAACTCTCCCATATTCAGATTTCGGCCACTACGACTCTAATTAGTGTAACTCAACAAGATGGACGAGCCTCTGCATATCATTCCCAGTACAACATACTAAATCACAAAGGAGAAAATAAGTGAAAGCTGTTACCCATGTGACCAGAAACAAGGGAAAAATAAAGTTTGGCCTGCGTGTTTTGATACATTCAAATCATGAATATTCATACATGTAAATTAATCTCGAGTCAAGGCAGAATTTGCAACCTAAATCTTTCAAATGTATTGTTTGCAATGTAGATCAATCACAGGCATGGAGTGAAGAGATTTGAGATCAGGAGACAACTGGTTAGGGGAATGGGGAAGCAGAGGTACAAAGAAGACTTAAACCTTTTAATGTGTGACGAATGGCACCTATTGTCATCATTTGATAAATATATAAGGGCCACATTCCACAGTTCAGGTTCATGACTGATGGTTGAGTTTCTGATGTGCAATAATCCACGCTGGACTGCCAGTTCACAAATATATCAAACACTACATTTCTGCCTCAGTTAAATACTACCTAGCACTCACAAAGAGAGGAAGCCTAGATGCTGCTGAGTATGAGGGCTTCCAGGTCTACAATGAACAGCTTTGGTAAAGGTCTCCATTCTGCAGATACATTTACAAAGTTCAAGTTCAATTGTGCAGGACCTTGTTGATGAGATTTATTGGGCCACAGAGTAATCCACATTCCCTTGACAGGAAGGACAGGCCGGCGCCCTGCCGACTGTGTAAAAATCACTTTCCAACCGAGGTGCGTTGAGCCTCGACAGATACATTAA